AATGGAAAAGTGGCCTCGGATCCAAGCCTTACTGTGTGAACTGCCACTTTCTTTTAGCTCCCTTTCTGTTATAGCATTAATTATCCAGGTATTTAGCTTAACTAAATGCCTGGATAATTTAATCCTATAACAGAAAGGGAGCCAACTGCTGAACTGCAAGTTCTGGTCACTGTACCTCAAAAAGAAAAAAAGATGTAGCATTGGAAAAAGTGCAGAAAAGGGTAACTAAAATTATTAAGGGGATGGAACACCTTCCCTATGAAAAAACATTAAAGAGGTTAGGTCTTTTTACCTTTGAGAAATGATGGCTGAAGGGTGACATGACAGAGGTTTACAAAATTATGCATGAGATAAAGAAGTAGAGAAGGTATTTAATTATATTTATACCCTGCCCTCCCCTTTTCACAAGAACTCGTGGGCACTCAATGAAATTAATGAGCAGTAGGTTTAGAACAGATAAAAGGAAGTACTTCTTCACCCAAAGACTAATTAACATGTGGAATTCACTGCTGCAGGAAGCGGTGATGGCTACAAGCACAGACAGCTTCAAGAGGGGATTGGATAAACAGGGAGCAGAGGTCCACCAGAGGTCCAGTATAGATGGAACACTATGTCTGGGGCAGTGATGCTCTGTGTGCTTGGGGGCAACAGTAGAAAGGCTTCTGGAGTTTTGGCCCTGCTGGTGGACCTCCTTGATGACACCTGGGTTTTGGCCACTGTGTGACACAGAGTGTTGGACTGGATGGGCCATTGGCCTGATCAACATGGTTCTAACTCAGCTTAATGTGCCATTACTACAGTGTTGATTTGTAAACCTGACCCAAATGAACGCTTGAGAACAGCCTGCAGCCTGCTGATCCAAATAGAAGTGGCTTTAGATGTATTAAGTCTCCATATCATCAGCAACTGGGACATTTACATGCTTTTCCATAGTAATTATTCAGAGTATGTAGTGCAAAGCCATTACAAGTAAGGAAAATGTCAGCTGCACATAACTTTAAAAACATATTCGTGCACCATATTCACATCATAAAAATAAAACCCTTTATTGATAGTATGAATGTTTAACATGTTTAATGCTGCCAGCTATAAAAAATGGTAAAAAGACTTCTGCTTCATACATTTCACTTTACAAATATACAAATGTTAATGAATAATTAATACTAGATTATACAGTCTGAACTTCATTAAAATCCTGTTAGCCAGTGACAAACCTCTCTAGCAACACATGATTCAGAGAAGATAAACATTTTGTTTCCATACACGCAAGTCTACAGAAAATTTAAATACTAAAACCCTAGAAGTCTTACTGAATTAGCTGGAACCACTTTAATAGTTGTGCTTACTTTATAGATTACTAGCAAAAATACACATCTCCTCTTGCATTGTGCCTCCTCACATCCATTGTGGAATACAGTACTCAGTGCATTTCCTAATAAAACTCATTATTGTATATAAAATCTCTAGATATAGCATAAAGAAAGGGCACAATTTACTGTAAACAAAAGGAAATACTTTAAGAGCTATGATAACATCTGTTTAAGGTTAGAAACAATACTGACCCAGTGATACTGAAATCATTCCCCCAGATTTCAGCTCTAATCCCTACTGAAAAATCCTATGCTGGACAACTGGATTGTGTGTGTGCTTATCCGAGCTGTTTCCTATGGGTCCATAGAATGATGATTTCTTTGCATGAGAGCTATTCCAGTGAACAAAGCAAAATTTAGGAAAGAATATAGTCACAACTATTGGAGCTCCTATGGTAGTGTGCAATTCCATATACAGATCTAGAATGAAGAGACCACTGGCTAGTCCTTATACAGTGGAGTCTTGAAGCTATCCTACTATATTTTAATTTATCACAAAGGTTCAATATCTTTTATCTAGCATCTCAAAATGAAAATAGCAACTATCCATGCCTATGGAAGATCATCCTCTGCTTTTTTGTAGCAAGAACTCTATATATTGACATTATATGGGAAACACCCTGGTTAACATCTGCTAATTATGCAGACTGTTTCGGGAAGGTATTCAAATGCCTTTACTCATGGCCTGGTTACTGATATTTATTTTTGTCCTTGACCACACACTACTGTAACGTCTTAGAGCAAAGTTATCTAGTGCAAGGACTCAGATGAGCAGGATACATTACTGGGAGGAAGGGGAGGAGCTGCAGAGAGGGTTGGAGAATATACTTCTAGCCTAAGCTATAAAAAAAGTCTCACACACTCACACACAAAAAAACCAGGAAGTTTTACTGGAAACAAACTTCCTTCAGCCCTGTATTGGCCCAAAGTTATTGACCACCTATCATAGGAAAAATTTCTAAAATGAGGGCAAATAAAGATTTAAGTAGCAACTTTATCACAGACATGTACTTCCTCATTTTTGTGACTTATTAAAAATCTGAATATAATAACAGTAAAATTTAAATAAACGTGTTGTGTGCATAACATACATGCCCCCCCCCCAATATACATGAATCTCTTTATATGTAAAGTTAATGATTTGGTTTCTGCAGTTGCAGCCAAGAGGGCTACAGTCTTCAAGATGCAAACCCAACTTGGTCAGCAAAACCTATGTCAGCTTGACAAAGTATCATAATATGGAACAACTTTTAAAGTTATTGCTTTGGATCATCTAGTACAGATCCTATCTTATCAATGCAAAAAAACCCCAACCCTCTATAGAACTGATTAGCCACTTCTCATTTCAAGTAATAATATGATCTTTATCAAGCAAAGAAAAAGATCCTTCTTTCAGAAGTTCTACATACAACAGTAGAATGCATGAAGAATTTTAAACTAGACACAACACTTCAAGATTTCATCTGGTCTATTCAATCTCTATGGAGAGAGAAATATGTAAGGAATGGATAGTTGGTGGGAAAGGACTGGCACCCTGATTGTTTAAAGCTTCTAAAGTTTTCTTTAAAAAACACATTATATCATAGGAAAGGATCAGGCTGCATAAAGCTCAGCAACAGGGCCAAAGTGCACCTGACAATGAAGCACTACATAAAACGGACTTACGTTAATATTAGGGAAACAACTGACCAGTCTATTGGTCACACCTTTGGAATAATTCCTTTTTATAGCACAGAAATAAGAAAACTACTAGGAAACAAAAAACAGTGTTGTTTTCAACATTCATGATTCATAGAGAAACTGTGCTTTCTGTGGTTAGATGATTCCTTCTGGATTTACAGAGAATCACATTCATATCTGTGGGCTTAAGCTCAGGCACTTCTTTTGAAAAGGTCTGTCTGGAATGGGGGTTTGCATGGAGTGTACTCTGCATGATTTAAAAAAATGAGCATCTTCAGGGTTTGCTGGTCATCTCCCAGCACAGGAATCGCCTGCTCTCTCATCTGATGTGCCTGCTGCCACGAGACACCTCTTGAGGCTTTAGTGTTTAAGATTTCTACATCAAAAGCATTATTCTCTACGTACTATAAAAAAAAAAAGTAAACTAACCGCGTTATACAAATTTGCTGTTACCCAAATAAATAACATGGAGTGGATAAGACAGTGTTAGGAATGGCAAATCACTCGGAATGTGAAATTTCCAGAGACTAGCTGCTGGTTGGCAACAAGATCTCAATCTCTTTCCCATTGGCTACGACAGCATTGCTTGAACAACTGCTTGCCAAGTCCACAGGTGAGCCCAGTGAGGATGCCTGAGAAGGAGTTTTAGTTGGTGGGGTGGCAGTGGCTGGAGAAGGAGCCAGTCCAGGTTTCTTTGGAGGTATTGGTGGTGGATTACCTCTTTCTGCTCTGGGTATGGTCGGCGATTTAATTCCTGGGGATAAAGGACTTAATGGGCTCGAGACCTTGCCTGGGCTTGACTCACTCTTGGGGCTCATGGCACTGGCCAGGTTTCGGTAGTCTGTGCCAAAAGGTGAGCTGTTAGGAGAGACTGGTTTGATAGGGCCTTGCTGACTGGTGAACCTGGAGAGGACCTGAGTGACTGTATTGCGGGCAAGCTGCTTAGCGGCAGAATTATCGACAAGGGTGGGTGACAAATCCCTGGATGGAGGGCTCTGGAGACCACTTGACTGGTGATCCTGATCTGCCTGGGACTGAAATTTGTGACGAGCAGCATGGAAGCGCTGATTGATTCCGACTTGGTAGGAAGATTGATAGCCAGGACTGCTGGCTGAAGCTCCAATCAGACGTTTGGTCATAACTGGGGAGGAGCAAGGGGAGGAAGTCAAAGATGAGGAACCCGTGTTGCTGGGGGATAAGGATATCCCACTGGAAGGGAGTGATGGAACACCAGAGGCAAGCGATTCTGTTCTTATAGGGGAGCTACTGTTTTCTACAGCATTCTCAACAGCTGATCCTGCAGGCTTTGCCCTTTGCAGGCTCTCCATGCTGAGCTCAGCTGGTTCTCCACTTATCTGCATAGCATCACAATGCCCGTTTACCTTGGCATAAGGGTAGGCAGCTGTGGCAGAGGGGGATGTTAGCAAGTGCACCAATTTGCCTGTACTTGCATTCTCTGCCAACCAACTTTCTGTCTGGCACGCTACTGACCGAACTGAAGAACATTCTGTGCCAGTTGCTACAGACGCGACTGAGATATGGGGTGGTATGCTCTCAGCTTGGATGCTACTTTCTTTGTGAGTTGCCTCTAGCTCCTCTAGGATTTTCTTCAGATTCTCTACCTCTTCCTTCAGAGCCTTGGTGCGGTTCTCTTCCCGGTTCAGCTTGGCTCTCAACTGTTCTCTTTCAATGTCAAACTCAGATAGCTGCTTCTCTACTTGTGCCTCCATTTGCAAACCCCTCTTCTTCTTAGCTGCCAGCTCCTCCTCCATTTGGCTCACTTTACTTCTTTCTTTCTCCAGCTTCAAGCTCAGTTCCTCAACCTGCTTCCCTTCCTCTGCAGCTTTGGCTGTGGCTTTCTTGCACTCCAGCACAAGCATGGAAGAAAGCTGCTTGTGGTGTGCACGTTCCTCCTCCAGCTGACTAGACAGCTTCTTTTGTTCTCTCTCAAACTTCTTCACCTGGGACTTCTCAAACTCCAGCTAGGAGAGAAGATAAAGTCAATTAAAATAGTCAAATGGCTTCAAGCCACCTCCCAAAAAACAAACATCGGAACAACAAAAGCAACTGAGAATCATGGACATAAGAATCAATGACAGAAATAACTGAAGCTTGGATCCTGTAACCCTGTTCCCCTTGACTTTCTCTCTCTGTGGAGGCTTTCCCTCACTGTGGTGCTCACTTCCTTTGCTATTAGCATTTCTGTGCCTGCAAGATCAAGGGGTTCTCATGCACATGGCAGTGACAGCAGCAGAGGAGTGGAGTGCCGCCTTGAAAGAAATCCTCCGCAGCAGCCCGAGAGAAGCATAGGTGTAACACTGTCATGGGATCCAAGCCTAAGATTATAAACACCCTACATACTCAGGCCAATGCAAGCCCAGACAAATGCAAAACTATGGGCCATTTACAGCTACTATTACTATATATACTCAATAAAATGGGTGTATTAGAAATACCCTTCTGTTCATAACCCTTCCTTCCATTGTCCATGCCCCTTCCTTCCATTCTGAAATTAAGCCTAAATATATAAAACAGAAAAGAATGCACATCCTTCCTCTATCTCCACCTCCCTCCCCTTTCTTTTGGACTCTCGACACTCTTTAAGGCAGACACCTGACTTCTTGTAAAGCACAATGCCTACTGATGGTACCTATACTTCCATCCATATGATGTGCACAGAGCTGCAACTGGTTTTAATTCCTTGTAGGAGGGATACCTGTTGCCTCTCACCATTTCAGGATACATTATAAACCCATGCAGCATTCCCAACAATTTCAAAAGAAGCGGGGTTTGTTTTCTATTCTCAATGACTTGGACCCTGGCAAAATCTTTGACAGTAGCAAATTCCATCAGCAGACTCCCCCCCTCCCCCCTTGCACTGCACCCCAAAATGCTCCTTCCAAAATGCTGCTCCTAGGAGACAGATGACCCGCAGAAAAAACCATGAGATGAAAGTCAACCACAGGAGGAGGGAATAAGTGAAAATCAGAAAACTTCTGTCCATCAGAAATTTGCCACTGAATCCAACCCATAATTTTCTTCTTCTTTAATCCATTTTGGACATTACTGTGACTACTGAACTATACTGTCTTTAGGTTTTGTTGTAAGCCTCTCTGAGTGCATGGAATATAGTAGATGACAATAAAAATGTATTTCTGTAAACCTAGAAGTATTACTGTAGTAAGTCTACTTTGCTGCTTATAGGGAGACTGAACTCTCATGACACAAGAAGTGAGGTAAATTAATCATTTCTCTCTGAGAGCTGACGAGCTAGTCAAAGTTGTACCTGCTGCGTGAGCCGCTCTCGCTCTTTTTCCAGCATGTAGGTGACATCATCCCCTTCAGCAGTGTCTTGGGCGTGCCGCTGTCTCTCTTCTTCGAGATCCAATATTACCTTCCAACCAGAAAAGCACACACATCAATCACTTCTGCATAGCGAGAATTACAAGTGTATCCAGATGGGCAGGCCAAGTCAGGCAATGCGTTTTTATGCTTAAAGCACTTTTAAACAGAACACCATGTAAACATGTACACTCTAAATCATTTAAAGATTCTGTTGATGACTTTAAAAAGTTCATTCTTCCACACCTCATTACAGCCACTCCCTGTAATAGTCTACCTTGTGAGAGAAAGAATAAAAAGAGATGAAGAACAGAAAAATGCGCAGAGCATCGTGTTTACATAACTTGCTGTAGAACTCTGAAACTGTGTTTTCTGTTCACATGATGCTGCCACAAACTGAACTCTTCTGGATGTTGATAGTTTACATCAGCAATTCTTCAAATCTGTCTCACAAATAAAAGGTGCAAAAACACCGAATTTTCCTTCACGGGTATTGCTATGTTATTCTGCGGAAGCAGAGGAGATTTGTATTTTGTAGCATCCAACTCAAGTATCTAAATGTAAACATCAAAACTGCTGTATGGTTTATTCACTAGGTGACAGATCTCACTAAGGTCTACCCTTGGGGGGTGGGAGGGCTGCAGCAGAAGGGGGGAAATTACCTAAAAGATTATTTACACTGAAATCCCAGAGGGTATGTACATGGGAGCAGGCTTCACTGAAGTAAAAAGGACTTTCTTCTAAGCTAGCATACTTAGGGACTGATACAAAAGATACTGTACAAAGACTTGCTTAACAATGCAGAATATGTAACAGAAGACGACTTACTCCCATCGTGTGAATTACAGGTAATACAAGTCTAATGCCCTCATTAACTACTGATTTAAAAACAAGCCTATTTCAAGACATCTGAGCAAGAACAGAGGTAGAATAAGGCCAACATTTTTTACCCCTTACTTGGAAAAAATATTAGTGCAAAATAATTTATTTGAATACTCTTTACAACAGTGTTTCTGCACTAACTGCTCAGTTCCAAAAGCCTTCTGTCCCAATTTTTCAGCAGAACAGGTACTATAAAAGGTGTATTGAAAAAAATACCCAAAAAACTACCAGTAAATTCTACCTTGGATTTCTAGAAATTATGCCCACGGTAATGAGATATAAGTATTCACTATGTTTTGCATGACTGCTTTGAAGCATACCAACATAGCTCTAGGTAAAATTAAACTGTGCAAACTTTTATTATGTTATTGCTTCAAGTGTTAACACCCAAAGGATTTACTAGCTTGCAACTCTTGAGATTATTCCTCTCTGAGAGCTGTAGAGGAAGTAAAAACAGTCTCTTTTGAAATGATGCATTCAAGGGAAATTACTGAAGTGAAAAACAACTAAAATAGACAGCAGAGATTCCAGTGTGAAGGCCAAAAGGAAGCACTTGCTTCCTTTCAAAATTATCAGCTGCTCTATTTTAAATGTAACACTGGGAATACTAAAAAATCTCCTCTGTGCAGACGAGAAAAGACTGCTGTGCCAAGATGGCAGCCAGAGTTCAAAGATGTGCATGTTATATGAATGGAAATTATGGCAGCTTTAGCAAGAGCACATGCATTCTTCATGCCTGCCACTCTGTAAAGACAGACACAAACACATTAAAGTGTAGTTTCATTCATGCCTAATCATTAAAGCTTCCCCCCCACAGATTCACATGCATGACCAGAGCTCTCTGTATACCTAATCAAAAAGGCTGATGTCACCATGATTCAGAGAAAACCCCCCAATATAACAGGAAATCAGACACTACATAGATTTTTGATCAGAAGGTGCATCTTCTACTTCTCAACAGCTGCATCAGTTAATAAAACACTTTTGTGCTTTACTAAGAGAAATGATTTTATTAGAAGCATTGAGTTAGTTAGCAACTGAACACCACAATAACACATTTGGGACTGAGTGAATTTGTATAATCATAGATTTAAAATGCTGATAGTTGTCACCTTGCTGGCAAAAAGACCCAGCAAGATAATGCGAATCTGCTCTGCCATAGAAATGCTAAACAGAAGCAATCGTTTTTGAGCAAAGTGCAGAAAGCATGAGACCTACCTTTCTGTGCCTGCTTTCTGCCGCAGCTAATTGGGACAACATTTTCTCCTGCATATTCTTGCAATGTTTCATCACTACCTTTAGGACAGACAAAGGATTGGCACAAACGGGTTGCTTATCACCATGATTCTCCTCCTTCATTGCCTCAAAATCCCTCTGAAGTGCCATCAGTGGGTCACTTATATTGTATTTTCCATAACGTTCTTCAATGAAAGCATCTCTGTGCTGGGCCTGAAACATATGATCAGGTATTCCAAATTATTAACCAATGTTAGGTACCAAAGAGAAGAGAAAAAGTAAATGCTGGATAAAATCCAATCACCTAAATAAACAAGTGTGGAGAAGCCCCAACATAACCACTAAGACTCACGGCTATGACTGTGGAAGATGGTCTTGTCAAAAACCCAGCCAAATAAAAATGAAGTCTACTTAGTATATAAAAATCTGCTCATAATTAAGCCATTTCACAGCCCATAACAACTACTGAGGTGAGACTGAAAGAAGAGAAGTGGGAGACAACAGAAGGAAGAAGCAGGACATCTAGGAAAGAAATATGAAGGAAGCAGGGGTACGAAAAGCGGCTGTCACAACTGGGAAAAGAAGCAGAAGTGGATAGAGGAAGGGGGTGTAAAGCAATCTAGGAACAGGGAGAAAAAGCAGAGATTACATTTTGCCTGCATATTCAATTTGGGCATCTCCTTATAGCTACGTTTCCATGTACTTTTCTACTACCATATATGGTAATCGTCTGGTAGTTATGTATTATTTATAATATGGCAGAGTTACACACAGGAAGCATATAATAATATAAAATATGTAACCAAGTCGATGCAACAGGTATGCAGACCAAGTGGGCAATTCCCCTAAATACTAATATCTACATTTTCAATCCACTCAATCACAGCTTGGGGGGGGGGGG